TGTCAGGGCCTCCCCACTCTCACAGGGAAGAATTTATCCCTAATATCCCATTTAACCCTGCCCTCTGGCAGTGGTAAGCCATTCCCCCTTGTCCTGTCACTCCAGGCCCTTGTAAATAGTCTCTGTAAATAGTCCCTCTCCATCTTTCCTGTCAGCTCATTCAGGCACTGAGAGGCCACAATTAGAACACCCTGGAGCCTTCTCTTCTCCAGGCTGAACAGCCCCAATTCTCTCAGTGTTTCCTCACAGCAGAGCTGCTCCATCCCTCTGATCAGCTCCGTGGTCTCCTCTGGACTCGCTCCAGCAGCTCAATGTCCTTCCTCAGCGTGCTCCCTGGGGCACCTGGAAGGGCTCTGAGCACCCTGACGCTGCAGAAAGGTCCCATCACAACACGTCCCCGTGCCCCCCGCCCTGACCCCCTGTGGCCTCTCCCTTCCCCAGGTACACCAAGATGAAGACGGCCACCAACATCTACATCTTCAACCTGGCGCTGGCCGACGCGCTGGCCACCAGCACGCTGCCCTTCCAGAGCGCCAAGTACCTCATGGAGACCTGGCCCTTCGGGGAGCTGCTCTGCAAGGTTGTGCTCTCCATTGACTACTACAACATGTTCACCAGCATCTTCACCCTCACCATGATGAGCGTGGACCGCTACGTCGCCGTGTGCCACCCGGTCAAGGCCCTGGACTTCCGGACGCCGGCCAAGGCCAAGATCATCAACGTCTGCATCTGGGTGCTCTCCTCCCTCATCGGGGTGCCCATCATGGTCATGGCGGTCACCAAGACAAAAGGCAAGTGGCTTTTTGGGGACACGTCCCCCTCCTGTCCCATCTGTGCATCCCAGGGGTGATCTGGTGAACTCGACACCCGGCCCTGTAGCAGGTTTGGGGTCAGTGTGGGCACCTCTCTGTGGGACCATAGTGTGCCATGTTGTGGAAAAGGCATCATGGTGTTAGTTTTCCGTCTTGGAAACCATCCCAGAAATTGCCTTCCCTTCCCCTTAAGGCTGGGACACCACACCCTTCCCCATCTCCAGTCCAACCAGTGCCTCTGCCCCGCTCCTGGGGTGCAAACTGGTTAGAGCATGGTGCTAATAATGCCAAACACTGAACCAAGGGTTCAACTCCCATGCTGGCCATTCCCTTAAGAGTTGGACTTGATGGTCTTCGTGGATCCCTTCCAACTCAGGATATTCTATGAATATCTGAAGTCAGGTTCCTAAAAACACCCCCGGTAGTGCTGTGGAGTCCCCAGCTGGCCCACACTGAGATCTGCAGTTCCAGTGTGGGGACAGCAGCCCTTGGCTGCTTGGAAAGCTCTGGGCATCCCGAGGAAGGGGACAGGTCTCAGTAGAAGGTGACATGGGGATGTGTCCAGCACAGGGGTTGGGAGGATGCAGCGTGGGGATGGCCCAGGAGGCTCTGCAGGGAAGAGGTCACTGCACCCCCTGTATCCCCTCAGCACCCTGTGGGCTGGTGGCTCTGGGGAGCCTCTGCCAAGAGCTGGCAGGTGGGAATGCATCTCCTTGAGGTTTCAACGTGCCCAGGCACGACCAGAAGGCCGAGTATCCAGAGCAGAGCCTCCCCCAGCTCCCTCCCTGACCCTCCTCTCCCCCGCAGACGGGATGGTGCTGTGCACCCTGCAGTTCCCCGACCCTCCCATCTACTGGGACACCGTCACCAAGATCTGCGTCTTCATCTTCGCCTTCCTGGTGCCCATCCTGGTCATCACCATCTGCTACGGGCTGATGATCCTGCGCCTGAAGAGCGTCCGCCTCCTCTCGGGCTCCAAGGAGAAGGACCGGAACCTGCGGCGCATCACGCGCATGGTGCTGGTGGTGGTGGCCGCCTTCATCATCTGCTGGACCCCCATCCACATCTTCGTCATCGTCTGGACGCTGGTGGACATCGACAAGAAGAACCCCTACGTGGTGGCCAGCCTGCACTTCTGCATCGCCCTGGGCTACACCAACAGCAGCCTCAACCCCGTCCTCTACGCCTTCCTGGATGAGAACTTCAAGCGGTGCTTCCGGGAGTTCTGC